AGGAGCTGAGAAAACCACATTACTGAAAGCTGAAATGACGATAATAAGCATGAAAATGTGAATTTTCATGATGACTTGTAAGTATTTGAAGGATTATTATCACAAATGTTTTATAATATGTGAATTTTATAAACAGAATCTTGTGAGAATGTAGCTTAAAGACGTGTATTTATAAGCAAATCAGATTAGAGTTACAATTTAAATTATTTGATGTCTATTGACAATGTGAAGTGCTAAAATGAAATCTCATTTGAAAATAAAAAATTAAGATCCATAATTTTTGTTTTTCGAAAGGTAAATAATAAGAGAAAATTAAAGTAGAATTTTCGATCAATTTTTGTAACGATCACGATAAAACTTGGTCAGCTTCAAGAAATACATAAATTTTATGTTCTCTCCTTTTTATAGTAAATTGCACGTGATAATTATGACACGTTTAATTCCCTCATTAATTAAAAATTAAATATACGCGGCGAGGAAACTAAAATAATTCCTAATATATTAAAATACTTGTTTAAATGTATCTTCAATTATTATTGTAAAAGCAAAAATTTTGAATGTAATTTATTTATTTTATTTTATTTTTTTTGTATTGGTTTTATTTGAACCCAAGTATAAGAGAATTCAAATGATTTTGAATAAATCATGATATTGCTGGGAATCGGTGAAATAATAATTTTTCATTTTTCATAAAGTAATAATAAATTGTCGGTACAAATTACATACATGTATATATGGAACTTGATTAAACGTACATTATTTAACAAGTGCAATTTTTTTCCAAGAATTTTCATCACTAAATAGATAATTTGTTCTCAAGAAAATTTACGAATTTATCAATGTAAATTTATGAAACGATTTAATGAATGAGTTGTTTAAGTATGCCAAAACAGTCAGAACCAAACTTTTTGAACAATATTACTGTTAAATAACCTTTCGTGAGGTAATACGAAATATTATATGAAATTTAGTATAAAATTATTTATATATTAAGCTAGTAATATTTAGCTTGAACTTCAACGTGATAACTTCAAAGAAAAGTATAAATATATTAAAAATAATTAATTTTATTCTATTTTTTTTTTTTTTTTTTAACTTTTTCACATATCTTTAAAATATTTCCAAAGTTGGATCAATTTTATTGATTTAGAACCAGATAAAACATTCAAGTTAGTTGATTAAATTTAATTATAAAGAAAATGTTCAAAAGATCTACACGTGATTCAAATCATTAAACAAACTTTATTTGAAAGTGTTAATACTATAATTACACGTGATTTTCACTTGAATATTTTTTTAAATTTTTTATGATGATATTTTTACCAAAATAAATTGCATAACCCGTGATAATACCGCTAAAGAGCACATTTTCGCTAATTCTTTAACCTTTTTGAAAATTACTTTCTCTTTTATAAAAAATAAATCTTTATTGAAAAATTTATGATGTGTTGTATAGCATACACTTTCTTTAATGAAAATTTTTTATTAAAGAATTTAATAATTGGGTATGTAATTAACACAATCACGAAAATAATAGCATTTTAACGCGGTAAATAAATAAAAAAGGTTGTTATCTAAGTTACAAAGGTAAATTTCTATCATTATAATAAGCAATAGCTTGAGTATGCTGTTTATAAGCAGCCAATCTCATGTACTTTTCACCCAATTCAACGTTCTTTATACCAGAATTTTCAAAGTTGCAGCATTATAATTACCAATAACTTGGCCATTTTCGGCGGCCTTGGTAAAATAATCGGTAGCTTCTTTTAAATCCTTTTTAACTCCGGTACCTATAAATAAACAATTACTGTAACGTAATTGAGCTTCAGGATCACCTGAATCCGCTACTTCTTTAAAACTCTGCCATTTGTTGTTTGATTCATATCAAGTTTAACAAATTTTGATGAATGTAATATGCTTTATAGTATTTTGCTTTCATATCATATAATCTTGCATTTTCTTCATTCACAGGATTTTCAATATTTATTGGCTTGGCATGATTTTGGGACTAGGCGATGGTGCATTTCTTTAAAAAGATCTTGATCTTGTAAAGTGGTAAAGATCTAAGAAAATTGAGGCCTAAAATTATGGTCATATTCGACAGCTTAGTAAATTTACAGAAGTTTGAAATTTTAATATATAAAAAAAGATATCTAGCATATTAATACCTTTTTTGCAAGTTCTTGATAATCTTTTGACAAAGGAGTACCTAAAGAAAAAGCTCACGATATTTTTGTTGCAAACAAGATTAGTGATCTCGAGGATATCATCATAGTTCTCATAAGGAGTTTTTTCTTCGGAAATTCCCACATATTCTATTATTATGCTCAGCTGATTGATACATTTTATAATTTCATTTTACACTTGAGTTACCTCTGTTATAAGTGGTAAAAAACTTCAAAACGATACCATTACGCTGACAGCATATGATCCCTTAGTAAACGTTGTTTCTACAAGATAAGATTAAATGATTTTATAATAAAAATGTTAATAATTATGTATATTGAACCGTTATATATAAAAAAAAATTTTTCTTTACCATAATTAGTATTTTCGACAATCGAACCTGGCGTAATTTTAATTTTAGTAATGAAAAAGTTTTAACAATGAAAGAATTTTTGAAAATTATTAAAGAAATATAAATTGATGGGAAATGTAATAAATTACCTTTACCTTCTGGTGTAATAAGATCATTCGCACCTGACGTTTAATTTATTTATTCAATTTTATTTTATATTTTAGAGTATTATTATTAAAATATTATTAATTATCTTACCATTTGAAGAACATTCAACCTTTGCGCTAATTTTTTTTTTTTAAAAAAAATATTTTGAAATAGTGATTAATTAGTTATTACCATTTGATATAAAAGCATTCGAATCTGACGTTAATTTATTATTATTATTATTTGAAATTAATATCATAGGCTTACCTGCAGAATTAATATCTCGTAGAAAATTTAATGGTAAACCCATGCATCCAAATAATCGTTTATTATTTTCTTGCAACCCAACCCATACCATATTCGTACAGAAGCTCAAAGTGAAGCTAGTTTAACAAGTTTGGTCAAAAAAAAGTAACCATGTCTATCAAGTCAAGCCACTTTCTTATCAAATTTAGACTATGTATGGGACTATGGTATTAAAAAGTCATTTGATGAATGCAAGTATGGTCGAATAAGAATTGAAAGAAATCACAGAAATTTTTTATAATTCTCTTGAAAACAATCCGCCTTTAAAAAACGGACGGACATTCCAACCATAACAGATAATAGATCTTACATTTAGCACTCAAACATTGTCACCATTCTCGATTATGTCATGAATTATGTAAATAATATCGTCATGAAGATATGTTTGCTAAAGTCACCATAGAAAGGGAAGATTATATTAATAGAATGCAATGTTCACAGAAACTGGGTAGGTGTTAAGAATCCTTTAAAAATACTGCATTCTTTGCTCGAACAAAATTATATAACAAAAGGACCCAACGTATCGGTCATTGGAATGGCGTTTGGATAAGAGTAAAAGCAATCGTGCATAGCTCGTTCAAAGCTGTTTATTATTATATAAAATTATTATATAAACTTCAATTTAATTCCTAAAATATTGGTTTAAATGATTTGCTCGATATCACTGAGCATTTTATTAAGTACGATTATTATAGAACCTGATCAAAGAATCACATTAGAACTTTTAAATGCATATTTAGGTTATGTGGAACACAGTCAACTTTATTTAATTTCCATGGTTTTTAAGAACTAGAAAATATTTAATGACATTTTGGAGAAACTGAAAATATTGCAATATTATGTAATAAATATTTTGAAAATTTCTCAAACCCTTTAATAAACACAATTCATAGTTTTATAAACCACCAATCGATTCAAATTTAATGATCCTGATATATCATATGTTGGTAAAATGATTCAATCGTAATTTATCAATACAAAAAAAATTTAAAGAAGCCTTAACCGCAGCATATTGAATTAATATTTTGTAAAAAAAAAAAGACCTTTAACTCACTAAAAATAAAACTTTTCGATGTACTAATAGTTAATTTCAGTCGTATCGTAATAAAAAATTCGAATGATCCGGGTTAATTCGGATAATTAAGATAATTCGAATTTGATATGCCGGAAAAATTATAAATTTTATTATAAAATTAGATTTATTAGATTTAAAAAAGCGTGATGTAGATCTTCGCGGCAATAAAATTTTCATTAAAAAAAATTCGTAACGATGCGAAAATAAAAATTTCGTTAAAAAAAATTCGTGCTAAGAAGTTTTGTTAAAAAGAAAATAAAGTGAATAATCAAATTGTAAATCATAACGTGATTTAACCCATATGACTATTATCAGTTAAGTGGACCAATAAAAAAAAATTTTATCATTTTCCCCCTTTTCTATTGCCCAATTTCTTTCAAGATCGGCGTTCGTTACATTGAAAATTGGATGATCCCGGATGATTCGAATTATATATTTCATTCGAATTAAATTTCTTTTCGAATTTATTCGGATCATTCGAATCAGGCTAATTCTAGTCATTTTCTGAATCTAAATTTAAATTTATAATTAATTACTCAATTATTACGAATCATACATTTATTCTTAATTAGTATTTTCGTAATGTAAATTTAAATTAATTTAATACGGGTACGACTTTTTGGATTGGTTGAGCGATATAGATCCTCTATTATTAAATTATTTCTAAAATAAAAGGATATAATTTAGTTTCAAATAGAATGACACCAGATAAGACAGATACAACGGGAATATATTCTATGCCGATCTCGAAACATATATATAAATGTTTATTTTTTGACAGAAAAAATTTTTTCACAGTTATAAAATGTAAACTCATCTGAGGTTAGATTATGAGATACCTTTGTAGAATTGGTATAAAAATGTGCGTCGTACTCGTTGATGTTCAGTAAAAGTGATGTCGTATATTGTTAACTTATGATAATCCAAGCATGAACCGATGAAATAATGATTAAAATGAGAAACGGCAATGTTCGATATGTTTTTACTCAATGGTCCTTTGACCTAAAACTAGATAATTCTACAAGGACGGTTAAGCCAGTTGCTAGTGAAAAGGCATCTCATACACGTGGTCAGTTGATCTGCAAACCAGTTTTGAATCCTATCCTTTCTTTTAACCTTGCTATGCATTATTGTAAGATAATTACAACGTAGACAACAAAACGAAATAACCAGCAACCGATGTTAAAAATAATTTAATTGTGTCTACGCTTATTCCAATATAATGTATAATGCAACATCTATTTTTAATTTTGGACTTTACCTTTTATCAGAATCTCTATCTAAGAATTAAATATTCTCTTAGTAACATTTCTGCAAATATTATTTATCACCTGACTTTATTATAATCATGCTCAATTTGATTTTGATTTTACTGGCACACTACAGTTATTAATTCGAATTTCCTTTGTTGACTCAGTTTCTGGTGTTAGATGGTATATTTTTATAAAAAGAATAATTCTCAATTTATTATTAAACATGGAACCACATTAGAACGAAATGTATCAGTAAAAGCCTTTTATTACAAAGTGCCTTTTGATGTCAATGGTTGAAAAATACTTTTAAAGTTTAGTCATGATAAAGATTCTTATATGAAAATTATTATTATTAAATTATGGTTAATGTTGTTATTTATGTATTCACTCCTTCATCTTATTGGATTGCAGCACCTTTTATTATTTTAGCTAGTATATTGATTTTTCATTTGATTTTTAACCTATATTAGTTTTTCGTTCGTTTCATTCGAAAAATCAAATAAAAACTGAAATTTTATAATTTTATATTGACTCCATTATTTGTTAAAAAATTATGGTTAATCGAGTTATTTATGTATATATTCACTCCTTCATCTTATTAGCTTGCAGCACCTTTTTATTATTTTAACTAGTATATTGAATTTTTCATTCGATTTTTAACCTATATTAGTTTTTTCGGTCGTTTCTTTCGAAATCAAATAAAAACTGAAATTTTAATTACTATTCATTATTTGTTATGTTTTGTTATAAAAAAAAATTGGCCGGAGTTATTGATAATTTGGTTAAATTCCGATTTTGGCCAGAATTAAAGAAATCCGGATTCCCAAGTTGTGTTCGCCCTTTCCTCCGCTAGTAACCATTCTTCAGAAAGGTTAGGCACTTTAGCAAGGAGCTGAAATTCCCTTACCTAGGAGTTTAAGTCGGGTTTTTTCTTCATTTCCACAGTTCTCGTTTCATATTCTCGCTTATAATCTCGCACTTATTAACGTTAATAAACATTTAACTTAGTTCATTGGTTTTTATTTATATATATACATATATTATCATGTTTTCTATCTTTTTTTTTATTTTTATATCCTATAGCATTTGCCAAGTAATAAACCAAAGGCTTGTTTAATAGAAATTTTTTATTTATATGGTAAGTATTCTTTAATTATTTTCCTAACAAACCTCCCAAATAGCATATATATTTTGTGAAAAAAAGAAAGTGGGCTAAATTATACTGTAATTGTTACAGATCCAATGGACCGAAAATCGGTAATTACATCTCATCGACTCTTTAACGGGTCATTTTAGTGATCTTAAGTTTCCACTCGAATTTCGTTTGTAGAACTTGATTTTTGATATTTTAATTTTAATAAACTCATTATAATGCATTACTGTACTGTTAATTTAACATAAAAAAAAATTTTTTTAAGTGGTGCAAATTATAAAAATTGACTTATTATATTAATTAATATAGTATATTCGATGAAGATTCATTTTAGAGTACGAATTATATTGAAAATAAATTGTGAAAATGCATAATAATGTGAAACCATACTGTGACAGTTATGTGCAACCAGACGTTACATATCGGGATGGATGTTAGATTCTCTTTTACTAGGAACGTATAAATAATACTATCCAGTAAAGTGGTACTTTAAAAAATTTTTTCTCGGTAAACCCCTGATCCAGGTTTAAACAGGTTTTTTTTTTTAAAAAAAAAGTACATTTCCTAATAAGTAAAAATTAACAAACGTCAAATGTCATCAAAATAATGGCGAAATATGGAACGGGTAACCGCGAATTTTAAGAAAAAATGTGTTGCCTTAAGAACAAAGATAATAAAAAAAAAAAAAATCAGAAAAAAAAAAGAAAAAAAAAGGTTCGGTTATAATAATATTTAGAGAATTTTTATAAAAATTTATAGGCGACGCAAAAACTCTCATTGATGACTCGCAAACACGAGATCATTCTGCAGTCGGAGGTGTTTAAATTTTTTAATACTTGCTAAATTAAGTAATAATAGATATGGGATGGACTAAAAATATATCAATTGTGACGGATATTACATCATTTTGTTTCTTTCATCTTTTTTTTTATTATAAAAGAAATAGCAAAGCTTTCAAATTCTTAAGTATACTTTTTCTTCTCGTACGTGCTAAAAACAACGCCCACATTCCAAACAACTTACTATTTTAGCTGAAACTTTTCGAGCGAGATTCCAACATTTTCGTCCTTTGACAAGGTATTTTTAAATTAGTAGTGGTTTTCCATCCTGGTTACGAGCTCAACAATATTCGCGAAATATTGTTGACCTACAGGTTCGATATACCAGGGATGTTCATTTCTATAGACAAGTATTACCCCAGTGCTATATCGTATTGATAAATCTTTACGTGGTCGTTCCTTTAATACATTGACTCTTAAGATCTGACTCCCAACCGCCCTTAGCACGAATTCCTTACTCTTCAATAATACTTAGATTACTAATTTAACATTATTCTTTTTTTTTTATCATACTAATAGGCGTACTGGTAGAATCATGCAAATTTGAACCCTTCTTGAAATTTATTTGAACGCGCTATTCTCATATCTTTTTGCGCTTTTGACAAGATATTTGTTGTAATGGGTAGAAAATTTCTATTCTGATTACGAGCTCAACAATATTCGCGAAATATTGTTGACCTACAGGTTCGAATACCCGGGATGCTCATTTCTATAGACAAGTATTATCCCAGTGTTATAACGTATTGTTAAGGTATTATCATTACGTGGTCGTTCCTTTAATACAATGACTCTTAAGATCTGACTTCCAATTGCCCTAAGCATAAATTTCTTGCTCTTTCAATAATATTAAATTTTTAAATCTAATATTTTTCATTTAATGGGTAGGTACTTCAGCGGCAGGTAGTGGATTCTTAATGTTAACTTTTCACAGTCCAAAATACAGGAGGCTGGTACACGTACTACTATTAATAATAAGTACTACGTCACGAATTTATTTTTTGAAAAAAAACTTCTATTGATTTTTTTCATTATTGAAAATTCCAATTAGCAGGAAGAGATAAGTTTTATTTTTATCACTATGAATATAAGAAACTCTGATTTTTAGATATTCAAAAATTCCTTATCATTCGCTTTATTTTGCAATATTTATCTAATTAAATATATAAACCATATAACAGTGACCGAGTGATTTCTATTTTTAACCTTTAACTTTTTTGAGTTGGATTGTTTTGGATCACATCAAACAAAAAATTTTTTCAGTTATAGTAACTTTCTAGACTTTTCATCATATCGTTCTGTATCAAATAAATAAATGTAAGTATGTTTGTTTTTTATTTTTTATTTTTTTCGTAATATTTGATTTTTTCCTGAAATTTTATTAATTGATTCTGATGGAGACTACCCAAACGAATCACAAAAACCTTGCAATTGAGAACGTTTTATGAATTGGGTATATGGAAACTGGTTCGGTACAATTTTGCTTTATCAGTACTATACTGGTGGGGTTAATACGAATTTAAAAAATTCATACCAATTTGAAAATCATACTGCGGTATGATAATAATTAATATTTTTAATATCTAACGAAAATATCGAGTAATATTTCAGTAAGTTTATCAAAATAATTTAAATAAAGAAAAGGCATTGTTAAATACAAAAATAATAATTTATTTTAGTCTGATGTATTTGTCTTCAATAATTTGAATAAAAATGACTCAATTTTTAAATCGGATAAAAATTTTTAATTTTAAAACTGCAATGAAAATCTCTCGTTATAGAACTAATATGAAATAATTGTATCGTACCATACCAATTTTATAATACCGCCAGTTTTCTATTACTCATAATCAAAATTGAAAGCGAATCAATCAAATCAATCAAATGAATTTTAGATTCTTATTGGCTATTTTTTCATTTTAGTAAAGGGTAATGCAATTAATTCCAAATATTAGCAAATTAAAAAAAGATAGCAAAAATCTTGATTTTTGACTTTTGAATATATCATTTTGACTTTCGATAATTTATTGATTTGTTATAATTTTGATAGAATATGTCAAATATAAAAGAGAATTACCCGTAATTTTATTTTACTGGAACCATTACTGCTAATACTAATGCTATAAAAAATGTTTAAAGAGATTTGTGAAATAAAATTGGACATTAATTCCTCAATTATTAGATAAGTTAGTTATAATTAAAGTAAAATGTTATTTTAATTATATAAAATAATTTTCTATAGTTAACTAATTATTATATTATAAATTAACATATTAATTAATAAGATTTAATAAATATAAAAAAAAAATAATAAATAAGAAATATAAATCAAATTAAAGCAAATTAATAAAATTAATAAAGTCAGATTGATTGGTAAAATCAGAAAATTATAAAAATTAGCAATAATTGTTTATTAATAACATTATAATCACTGAAACCTATATTTTATAAATTATTAATACTAATATTTTTTGAGTTAAAAACTTCAATATAACTTGTATATAAATATTATTAAGAGAATTTATTTTAAATAAAAGTCTTATGTTTTATTTATTATTTTATTTATTACAAAGTATTCTTAATAATTAAATATAATTTTTCTAATATAAATTATTTAAAAGATTATTTTCATATAATTATTAAATTATAATATTTTCAAATTGTATACATATAGTTTGGTATTTATTCTCTTTAAATAAAATTTCAAAGTATAATTTTTTTATATTAAAATTATTCATTATTTACATTTGTTTAATATATAATTATTAATACTATTTCCTTAATATTTTTTATAAGTATTTTTATATTTTTTAATATTCTTAATATAATTTATTTTAAGAGAAATAATTTTATTTAATTAAATATAATTTTCTATATTAAATATAAATTTTATAATATATTATTAAAATATTATTTAAAATAATTAATACTATATTTATAATTAATTCTTAATAAGATTTTAGTTTGAAAATTAAAGTTTTAAAAGTTAAATAAAATATGTAGATTTTTATTTATTTATATTTATTTAAACTAAAAATATAATGAACTATATTCTTTTATTATATTTTTTTATTATATTAATTTATTAATCTATTAAATTTTACTATATTTTTTAAAATTATAAAAATTATTAATATTATTTTAATTACTTTAAGTTTTTTTATATTTTCACACTCTGATTTTATTTAATTCATTTAATATTTTATTTATTTATTATTATATTATATACTTTATATTATATGTTTAATATTTTTAGTTTTATAATATTTATATTATTTAAAAATTATTAACATTTAAATTTCTTATTAGTTTTATAATTAATTAATTTTAATAAATAATATTTATTTACTATATTTAAAATATTTAAATTTATAGTTTAATCACAAATAAATAATTTTTTATAATATTATTATTTTATTAAAATTATATAATATATATACAATTCAGAGTATTTAAAATTTTAGGTTACAGTATGTTTCACTAAAACCAGTTCCGCCAAAACCCCTTTTGCTGAAACTAATTCACCAAAAGAACATTTTGCCAAATGGCCACTTCGCTGAATATCCATTTCACCAAATGGACTTTTCACCAAAAAGAAATTTCGCCGAATGAACATTTCACCAAGAGGATGTTTCGCCAAAATGACATTTTGCCAAATCCGTTTTGCCAAATGGACACTTTATCAAATCTGTTTCACTGAAAAGATATTTCACTGATAACGAAAATAATTCACTGTTAGTTGTTAGCAATTTGCCAGATTTATTAAACTTTTTTATTATTTCCAATGAAATTATTAAGAAAAAACTTACTTTATAATGTAGAACTTAAAAATGATTAGTTAAACAAATATTACACAGTAGTCATTTTTGGTGAAATATCCTTTTAGTGAAATATATTCAGCGATATATTCGTTTGGCAAAAAGGATTCGGCAAAACGTCATTCGGCAAAACGGCATTTCGGCAAAGTGTCCTTTCAAAGAAATAGTATTTTGACGAAAACGTCTTTCGGTGAAAAGTCCATTCAGTAAAATGGTCATTCAGCGAAGAGTCTTTTCAGTAAATTAGCTTTAACAAAGTGGGTTTCAGAGAAACGGATTTAGTGAAACATCCAGATACTAAAATTTTAATATTTATTATTATATATAATAAATATAATTTTATATATTATAAATTATATAAAATATTTATTAAGTATTAAAAAGTAAAAAATAATAATTATAATAAAATTGATTAAATTAATTTAGAATAATAAATATAATTTTATTGTTATATTAGATAAATTCCTAATAAATTTAAATATTTTATAATATAAATATTATTATATATATATTCTTTATTAAATTAGATTACTATTATAATAAAATTATATTTATACTTACAAAATAATCATATTTAATATATAATATAAATAATTAATATATATAAATTTAAAATCTTAATTTTATTAATCAAAAATCTATAATATGATAGTTTTTTTCAAATTTATAATATTTATTTATATTTTCATTAATTTTATATAATTAAAATAAATATAATTAGTTGTAATATATATATTATCAAATATAAATTTGAGATTTGATAAGCTAATTAAAAATTTTAATTTGTAATAAATATTACTATATCACATAAAAGGTTAGCATATTTATTTCAATTATAATATTTTATCATTGTTAAAGCTCTGAACAGTTTGGATTAATCTGAAAATTTTCGGTTCAGATCAACTTCAGTTCAGTTTCAGATTGCAAAAATTTCAATCTGAAAATTTTCAGTTCAGTTCAGATTTTTTT